TACCTGTATTATCATTATATTATATTTAAAAAAAAAAAAAATTATTTGACTGAGTTCGAAATATAGAGGTAGGTACTCAACACGATCGGCATCGCCAATGCAGCATAATTGTAGGATTCGATGAATAAAATGTCAACAAAATGTACGTCTGGTTAAACAAAAAAAAATTAAAAGTCATCGTCTTTAGAAATCCATTATTTATATTATCGTCACATGCACACAAATACCTATGTAGTACACTAAACTTGCTTGCTATTTTCCTCTGTTATAAGATAGGTACACCACGGCACCACGCACAATGCAGGTATTTAAGATTCAACGTCGTGCAGTGTGTATGATGTACATAGAGTTAATATATAATATAATAATGCTATTCATAAAACGCTTTTATTATAATATACGCAAATTAACTTTCTTTTTTATTATTACCATTAACGATAACTTCATATAATAATATAATAATATTATATATTTTACATATTATCGTTGTGATATTATATTCTAGTGCATTTATAATAATAATGAATACATATTATTATACTGTATCATATTGTATTGCGTATATCAATAAAACGTTACAGATTATACTTGCATTAATAAAGTACCTATATGTATAACTTCTAATAATTAATAAATAGGTACGTAACGCACTTACGCGGATATAGAAAATTATTGACCATTGTCACAGCCTGATCCGTTGGTGGTGAAGACGTATTTCAGTATTATTAAATTATATTAGGTTTAGGTACCTACCTACATGGCTACATACTTTCATCTGGTATATATAGGTGTATTGTATCTATATACGTGTGTAAGAAATGCATGTACGACTAGTGATAGCTATAAATAAATATAAATATATTTCATATTGTATATGGATCGTACATCACGTAGGTACCTATATATTATATCGATTCAAATCAAACGCGTGCGTGGAAAACGAATTTGACGGATTAAATAATAATAATAAAAAAAGAGACCACTGTCAATTAGCCTTCGGTGTAAAAACTTGAAAACGATGATATACGTTTTTCGAATGGAAAGTGGACTGCAATATCGTGGGGGTGGGGAGAGGGTTTACCACAATACGCATATACACTCGTCGACACGAATTTATTGCACGTCTCGAAAAGAGGGAACGTGTGGCATCGACAAGTACCTACCGGCTACCTATCAGGCACCAGCTATACACACCTATATCCATATAATATATAATAATTAATAGTGTGTTGTATTGTACGTCGAAGGCCCTGTTTGGTTTTGGCGCGGTGACAACACAAACCAACGATTTACGTGCATAAACGACATATTATACAGCAGCTGGCCGTAGTATTCTGCAGGGGTGTTAGATATACTATAATATAATAATAGTATACAATTTACAAATACGGTTTTATAATGTATTTTGTTTCTTAACAATATGTATGCATATCGAAATACCACAGTGGCACATGTGTGTGTGTGTGTGTGTGTGTGTGTGTGTGTGTAATATATATTTATATATACTGAGGATTCCCCGTGGAGCTCTGAGGGATGACTGCGCTGCAGGGTTTACGACTACGAAACGCGCACTACGAATTATAATTATGGAGGTCATCGATACTCGGGAGTTGGGAGGCAATGACCACTGCAGTGACGACGTGCGCAGAGAGCGTAGGTACACAGGTTTGTATACATATATATATATTATATTATGTGCTATATAGGCAAAGAGAAATGTCTGTTTTGATAGTAAGTAACATATATATATATATTTAATAATAATAATAATATCAATTCATATATATAGGTTTAAAGCATATAAAAATACTTTCTCTTGTCGGCCACGGCCATGGAAGAAGCAGTCGTTTTCACTATATATATACATATATATATATATGTATGTGTGTGTGTATTATACGACGGATGAGGTGCATTGCCACGGTTGTTATATAGTGTATCATATATTGAGGTCACAACCACCTCCACTGGCTCCATTCTTCAAAAAAAAAGAAGAAAAAAAGTGGACTCCATTTATAATGTTATATACCTATATAGTATATATAGGTATAATGTGTATATATATATTATATTATATATATGTATGTGTTTTTACTATTCCCTCCGTCACCGCCAGACCAAGGCACTCACTCTTTCTCTCGGCGTACGCGCATAAAAGTAATTGCCGGAAGAAAGTGAAATAATTTGTCACACTTTTTTTTACTTCTTATTTTCGTACGTCGAAGTACTCTGTAATTTTGTCGGACCCGCTGACCGATTTTCGGGAGCGCAGCCGCGTGTCTGATTCGCACTGTACCTACCATCGTCATCGTATAAAATATATATGTGCTTGTATAATTGACCGCTGCACCGTGCTGACTAGTGCGTGTTCTACTTGAAAATACTGAATTGCGCACGATTCAGCGCGTCTGTAGACCTATAAACATATATACCTATACATTATAATCGAGGTAACCCGTCGATGGCGTCGATAATGACCATACCAAGTAGTCATCGTACTTCGGACTTCCAAAAACTGACTGAAAACGTATAGTATGTCATGTTTACGGAGGCTCTCGTCGAAAATCAATTCAGTGGCCCAGAAATTGATATGAACCCGAACCTCTGTACCTAAATTACCCACCATTGCAGCAATCGTACTCGACTACTTGAGATCGACCAATTGGTTTTTTAACATGGCGCTTTTCAACATTTAATATACAAAATAATAAGAATATTATGTATAAAAACGCCCGTATGAATGTTATGCCATTAATACCAATGTTAGGATTTTGAAAACTTCTACTAAAAACCACAAAATACCACTTCATAACCTATTTATAAGCGTGCGCAGTCTTTAATATTTCTGGTCGAGCCTGAGATAACTAATGTCCCTTAAGAAGACAATATACCTGCTATGCTCTTTCCGTCTTAGTAATGGGTTATTTTTAATATTACAGTAAATTGACATATTATTATCAAATTTAAAGGTAAGAATTGTAATCCTGAGGCACCTAACCCTTTTTTTTATATTTTAGTTTCAAATAAAATTATGTACATTTTTAAATTAACAAAAAATATACAATTTTTTTAGTAGATCATTTTTATTTTTAAATTTTATTATCTTGTGGTGGGTGGGAGTCACTAATAAAGCAATATCAGATGTGTTATATTACTATAATATTAAATTACTCCAAGCCACTTCTGCAGATTTATACGAGTAATATAGGTACACAGTGGCTTCATGAATAGCTATTTTATGAGGCTACTGCATGAATCCAATCACCAAGACCTAGTCGACTAGACTGGTTTATAATTTATACTCACATATAGTCACATACGACCTGCATTTAAAATGTGTAAAGAGATAATTGTAAAATGTGAACAAATTGGTATGTGGGTACTTATTTAAGGTAGTTGCTTCATAGGAAAAAAAAGTTCAAGCCGCCACTATAATACATAATACATCAGAGGCGTATTTGAGAGGGGCATGGGTGTATGCCCCCCCTTGGAATTATTCATTGGTGATCACCGTTATATCCTACATATAGGTAATAAAATGATATAGACATATAGTATTTGTACAAGTGATATTTATTATTTGGTATTTCATATTTTTTATCAACATTACCAAAATGTATTGATAATGATATCAGCCAATTCTTGTCTAAATTCCCATATTATCTCGGTTGTAGTAATACACTGATATCCCACAACCACAGAATATCTTCAACGTCTGTCATATTATTAATATTATTGTGGAGGTAGCTGCATTATGATTGCGGTTGCCTCCAACACTATGCACATTATCGTAGTATTATGATTTATTATCACAGACTAAAAATTATTAAGTCATTAAAATGATAACAAAAAAGACACCGAATTCTGATAATGTAGTATTTACACATAAAAATTCAAAATAAATAATAATATGAATGTTGGACGTTGGTTAATGTGAGCTGTGAAGTACTGAAGTCTGAATTGTTTTTACACCCAAGCTGTCATCTCATTTTATTATAACGGTTAATGGTACTGGTCCGGTGTACAACCGTCATGAGAACGAAAACTACATATAGGTAATACCTAGACTATAGCAGTAACATCCATGGTTTAAGATATAAGTACTTTTATCTTAAACCATGGTATAACCTATATACGCAGGGTGAGATTCATAAATCATGCTCACCCATTAATTCTTTAAAAATATATTTATTAAAATTCTGGTTATTGGAATTTTCAGTAAGTACCATGTTGACTTATTTTATTTTATAATATTTAAGGATAGTCCTGTGGAGAAACTAACTTCGTTTTTCGCCATGAGGTCTATTTTTACTGCGTAATTTGTAGAATAGTTGATTATTTTTGAAAATGTTGATGCGTATTGAAATCGAAATTATTACTTCTAGTTTCTGAGTTATTATACTTAATGTATTATAAGTATAATAATCCTAACATTATTGTATCGTCACAATCCACTCCTTAACGACATAATATAAGACCTATGTTTAAAATTAAAAAATCTGAATTTAATTTAGAGAAAAAATTAGGACGAGAATGCTAGGTCTATCACTTTGTAAATGTAGTATATTACCAGCTTATCTAAAAACATTAAAAAATGTACTGCTAAAATTGAATACCGATTTGACATAAATTACTATAGTCTATATACCCAATACCAACTATCAACTATATCAATACTCGATAGTCGATCGTCGATACCTACGTTTTAAAGTTGTTCGTAATAAGGACGTATATCAGTGGCGTAGCCAGGATTTTTTTTCGGGGGGGGGGGGGGGGGGGGCTGATCAATTTTTTACACAGCGGTGGTTTAGTAATATACAATAAATTATTTTACCTGTATTATTTATTTAAAAAAACAATAAAAATAGTGATCAATTTTCTTTTCAATTGGACATAATTTAGTATAATAACATTTTATATAACTAAACAAACTCGAATTTAATAAACATGAATATAATATGATGAATAAAAAAAAATTAACAATATTTATTTACAAAAAATTAAAGTGACAATTTTAACCTTCGAGCCTTTCCGCTGTTAGCAAATTTGTCCAATATTTGATCATCTGAAATGTCAATATCTCTATGAATGGATAGTAGTGCGAGACCGACAAGTCTTGACTCTGAAGTTGAATTTCTAAGGTAAGTTTTTAGTCTTCTCAAAGAAGAAAAACTCCTTTCTGCAGTAGCAGTCGATACAGGTAGTACTGATATTAACTTAAGGAGTTGATACATGTTTGGAAACATATTGCTGTCACAGTTGGTTAAGGTTTCAATTGCATTTAATGGTCTGAACTTTGGCCCAACTGTTTTCCACTTAGACTGCCATAATGTAAATTCAGCTTCAATAATATCTTGATAACCTGGTAAATCGTCTTCATAAAATTGAACAGCCGGTTTTAAACACGAAAAGGGGTTATCAACAGCCAAAGACGGCAATACATACTGTAATGACTTTATAGTATCTTTATGAGATAGAAAACGTTGTTTTAGTGAGCAAAGCAAATCATCTAAGTATGGAATAAATATTGTACGTCTGTAAAATTCTTCAATATCTTTAAAAGGCACATTATTTCGATTTTTTTGTCTACCACAAATACGTGGCATAGTTTCATTAACATTTGACAAAACTGAAATACTTTTTACTCCCTCATAAATTTCATGAAACTCGACATTTGAATTTTCTCTAATATCTTGATGTTTCTTGGAGACTTCGGATACACTTTCAAATGCGTTTACTAAATCTATATTCTTAGTTTGTAATTATACATCTATTACATTATACGATTAGTGTAAAGTCAATAATTCATAAAGATAAGAACAGTCGTCGCCCGTCGGGTGTCTGTCGCGCTAATCACTTACAAATATTTATTTATAGATTTTACCATGAAACCGGCCTATGGACAATGTTATATAGTAATATATGCATTAATAACTACTAGCACGGTCGAAGCTATAGAAAAATAATAAAATTAAGATGACAATTTAAAATTAGTAAAATGTAATTTAATACTTTTTGATCGAATATCATAGACGACATAGACCATTAAAATAATAAATAATAATAAAATAATTTTTAAATTTTCTTAACTTTTCGGGGGGAGGGGGGCTGCAGCCCCCTCAGCCCCCCCTGGTTACGACACTGACGTATATATACTATATTATTTCGTATTTTCTTGTTCCTACAATAATACAATTGTAAGCATTACCTAAGTCGGGTTCAAACTACGCCGTGTCGAGTGATTTCGTATTTTTATGTTCATATCAAAATGCAATACCAATGTAGATGTATTAGATGATAACATATTATTATTTTATTTTAGTTATCACTTTTCCGCACATAAATGTAACCACACGGTCAAAAGTTGAATATATTCAACTATGAGGTATCGTTTGATAACTGTGTTAACCATAAACCATGATTATTTTATATGTCACGGTGTAGTGTGAACCCGGTTTTACGCACCACCATTATAATAATATATTGGCGTATCACGTATGAACGTCATAATAATATTAATAATATTATTGTGCATGATATATTATAAATTATAATATTGTTGGTGGGAGGTGGGGTAGTATACTGGTATAGGGTGCAGGGGCGGTCTGGGAATAAAAACTGGCCCGGGGGAAACAAAAATGCAGCCCAATTTTTGGCTAATAATAAAATATTTATAAGTTATCGGCTCAAATGTATTCAAGCAGACCAAAATGATGACAGTCCCAGGCAGGGATCGCTCACCTAGCCCTAGCCAGTCCACCCCTGAAAGGGTGGAAGCCGGTAGGTATGCTTTAAATTGTCCTAACGAAAAAAAGGCTGGCGGGCGATTGTGTTTTATTATATTATGATTATTTTATCCAACATGTGATTATCAAAAACGTGTTATGGTCGAGGGAAAGCGACCCGATTCTTGTATATACGCACTATACGCTTTTATATATAGGATGGGATACATGACATCCTATTGTAGTACACACATGCACGTGTATGCTACATAATATGTAAATAGATACAAAACGATTTTGGAAAACATATGTTTGACAATATTTATCAGTCGTACAAGACTCGCGCGAGTATAATGTCTACTGTCTGATAATAATAATAATAATTTATTTATATCATATTATTTTAATGATATATCTAATGAATTTGCCATTTTTAAAATATTTCGACCGGCGCAGCCCTCTCATCACACTCGCAGCAATTTCGCAGAGACAAGGACTTGCTACACACACACACTTCCACGCATTCTCTCCAATGCGATTATACTTATATATCAAATACCTATGATACACGTTCATGTATATATTGCACTCGCAGCAGTCCTTATATCCGGCTCGTTTGGCGTCGTCGGAACGAAGACAACCGCACGATGCGCGTAGCCGTGACGAGATGCGTGTTTAGTGGGTCAACGTGTTACTATATATATACGTTAGCCGTGGTTACTGTGTAGCGCGGACAAGGTAAAAGTGGTTTCTTTCTTTCTTTCTTTCTTTCTTTCGTTTTTGTTGCAAGCGACGACGACGAGTGAAGACGACGACCACCACAATATCCGCGTATCGTTTACTGCACATTAAGTATACACATTGATATTAAATTGCACGGCTTGAACCCGCCTTGCTACTTATTATACTACTGTCACGAGGACCACCAATATTTTTTATTTAAAAATCAGTACCATCGATTAGTAGATATTATAATAATTCATAATACGAGATTTGAATAGTTTGTAAACTATCCGGTCTTACCTTTCATATCAATGACCTTTGATACACGGTGTGTTGGACATACTATTATTTAGGTCGATTATCTTCAGGAAATATTCGTACCTACGCTAAATAATATTGTTCTGTTGGCGAGCACCATTCGTGACTATATTCTCGGTCCTCAGACCAGAATGATGGTTTACATTTTTACATTACCTGCCAGTCTTTTCAGAGCTTTTTGAGAACGGTAATATGACATAATATATCATACCCCTGTTTTTATGAAAATAAAGTGATCGAGGTTGTTTCACAAAATATAATCCTCGATCTCCACTGTATTTTTTTCTTTATGTCAAATTTAGACCTACTTTTATTCCTTACCAGACAGACGCCAATATTAGCAATCCACACATCTATATAATACCACCAGTAATAACCACCGTCTAGTAAATCGTCTCGTAATTTCGCTGTCGATTAAATCGTATACATATGTACCTCGGAATTTACACCCAAGGACTCCTCGAACGTACTCTCCGCGACTCTGCGGTAATTGATATACGAGACAGTATTAAAATATAAGCTGCCAAAAATACCCTTGCTGGCTTAGATTATTGTGGATTCGGCACGGATCGAAGGAACGCGCTCAACCGACCGAATCGAGGTCATCAAGCGCGTTAAATAATAAATTGTTATTATTTTATCTTCATTTTCACGGCGGTGGTTTATTTTCTCACTAGCATGTACCTAGGCACAATATAGTAACACATATAATACATTGATTTTAATATAGATAATAATTCTATACATAATATCATAGAAATATAAAATATGGTACTTATATCATATGTTTTGTTTCATACACACATTTTCTTAGTCCATTTTTGTCGAGTCAAATAATGTCTTATATAAAGTTATAATACCGGATACCGGAATCCTGTACTCCGTTTATCTAGAATTAGGTTTTAGACTTAGGATTTTTAGTTAATATTGCACTACGATAAATAATAGTAAGTTGTACATATAATTATTTCGTAAAAATGTAACCTTATAAATACTTTAAATTAAATAGACATTTTTTTTAAATCACAAAAATCAACTTTGCTATATTTAGCATATAACTCATATAAGTAGGATATTTTTGGCAAAATATCATTCAAATGCACGTACACTTTGGAGAATATTATAAATTATAATATACTTTTATACCCTACAAACCGTGGTAGAATCCATTAAATATTTTGTTACCTATCTGTACCTATATAGTTTTCTTCGTTTGTGGATAGTGCGCTCTGCATACCACTCTTGCATCATATTCATATTCGTATATTATGTTGTCAAATAAAGGAAAAAGATATTTTCATAAATATATATATTATATATTATATTACAACGGATTTCTGTATTTTTTAATAACACACACAAACATAGCTATAAGAATCGGAAGACTAGTACACCTTTCCAAAAAAAATGATCGATTATTAAAAACTATAATATCTTGTTATTATATGATACTGTTGACGATTAGTCCTTAGTGTTTATTTATTGTATAAAAACAAATCATGTATACCGGTAGGTCTAACAATAAAAAGATAAACGATAAACATATGCAATTTTAACCTTAAAACCATTACAGCAATTATTAATACTATTGAGATATTATAAACACTATATAGTATATATAGGTATATACGGGTGTTACAAAAAAATTTGACGAATACAAAAATAAACTAAATAAATTAAATACAAATAAATAAGTACAAAACAAAATGGGGTCGTCTAAAAATCGGAAAGTATATATCATACATATATGTACATATATGGAATACATACAAAACACATACACAGAAATCGTAACAACTTCGTACTACTCCAATTTCGATTTTTAACTGCGCCCGACGATAAATAATAATATAATAACTTACATATGTACAACAGCACAAGTAGTAAAGTGATTCGTAAAACAAATTGCAAGTGAATAATATATATAAGAGACTACTCAACGCTAAAATTAACATCATTACCTTTATTACATTACATAATATATATATAGGTGTTCTCCGCGGTCGACACGAAAAAAAAAAAATTAGTAAAGAACGAAAAAACCATGTTTGAGGTTAATATAAAGTTTTTCCAAAACAATTGTAGTGTTTTGTGATAACGCCGGAGAACACCGAATAAATAACAAACAAACAAAACAATAATAAATATAAATTAATCTCGTGACCGTGTGAAAACTCGATCCACGCTCTAAGATTACTTACAAGTTACAACAATAAAAATAGTAATAATAATCATAATTCATATAAATAATAACTAAAAATAATAATATCGAATACAAGTAATAATAATGAATAATGATGATATGAATAAAAATAATGATTAAGACGAATTAATATACAATAATTCACGAACAAATTACATTTTGTACTTTTTTTAAAAACTAAAATCGTTGCCCGCGTTGTTCGTCATACACAATAATACTATCAGATCGAAGCAGGTTTTCACCCATCACAACATCATCGTTGAGATTCAAAACAACACGTACATAATATTTCATAATACAGACTATAGAGGTACAATAATAAAACGACTTTTCGCGTACGCTGTCGTCGGAAAACCAGCACGTACGTTGCTGCGGACACGAATAAAATAATAATAATAATAATAAATCCAAAATAAAATAATAATATTCGAATCGTTTAAAGTCTTTGGTCAAAATTAATTTATTAAACGCGACGACGCTTCATGTGGTACGATCGCGTATGGCTGCTAACGGGTTAAAAGTCGAAAGGGACATTTAAGTACAATTATGTTGTGATACGGTCAATTTATTATTATTAATATTATTATTGTATTTATATTATAGTAATCACGTCGTCGTAACGTATTATAGTTAATGTTGGTACCTGCTGCAGTCCAACGTCCCGGGGTGGCCTCAGTGGACGTACGACGGCCGGGCTCAGTCCCGGCCACTGCGTTTGTGGATCTGCGCGTGCTTGATGAGATGGGCCTTCTGCCGGAACGCTTTCTGGCACACCTCGCACCGGAACGGTTTCTCGCCCGTGTGCGTGCGCAGGTGAACCTTGATGTTGCTTTTGTTCAGGAACCCGCGGTTGCATATATGACAGTTGTGGACCGTTCGTTCTCTGGCCACGTTGCCATCCGAACAGTAGACAACGGTGCTTCGGGCGGTCACTCCTCCGCCACCACCACCGCCACCACCGCCGCCTCCACTACCCTTTGCCTTGCCACTCCTGTTCCGCGACTTTTTCGTGGTCATATGAGGTCCTTGACCAGGCGTGGTAGTGTGTGCGAACTCGGGCGACGGTCGCGAACTGTGGACGGACGCGGCCGCTGCGGCAGCTGCAGCAGCCGCCGCAGCAGCCGCGGCGGACGGCATGTAACCGCCCAGGTCTGTGGTGCTGACCACATGACTTGTCGGGCTGTGCGCCAGGTACGACGGGGTGGACGACGACGGCGACGATGCGCAGTCCATGTGATAGCTGCCGGCATCTTGGAGCGGCGCTTTGTTGGCCGGTCCGTTCTGCAGCCGACTCTGGAGCAGTGGCATGAACGCCGCGGCAGCTGGACGGGGTGCGGGCGGTGGTACGTTGGATGTTACCAGCTCACGGGGCTGCTGCTGCTGCTGCTGTTGGTACAGTGGTTTCTGCATGGAGGACGGTGGCTGCTGGTGATAACTACCTGTCCCACCGCCACCTCCGTTGGTCATGCCCGGAAACTGGGAACTGGCCACCAGATCGTGTATGGTGACGTCTGCAAGTATGCCAGCCTTGTTGTCTTGAGGCGAACCGTTCGGATGTTCATATGACGCCCAGTCGTCGCCCACACTCAGCCACTCGTCGGGACCGTCCACTGCCGGGTGGTCGCCGCTTGCCGTCACCGTCGTGTCTGGCCCAAACGATGGACTGCCCATCAGCATTTCGAACTCATCGAACTGATTATCCACGAACGTGTCCTCCTCCTTGAACTTGGTCAGTCCCGCGTTGGTCGACGACGTTACCAGGTATTCGTTTTGATAGTACATGTTGTTGTTGGCCGTGGCCGTGTTGTTGTTGTTCTCAGCCACCCGATTGTTGGACGCGATCGATTGGTAGTGGTGGCCGGGTATGCCGTTGATGTTCACGCGCTCCGTGATCGTGTGGAACGGCATCAGCGGCTTGAGGTCTGCAAAATTCGGGGTTGGCTTGGTGTTGGGCTGATCAACGACGTTCGGTTGTTGATGGTGATGGCCGTGGTGGTGATGACCGCCGTGGAGGTGTTGTTGCTGCTGCTGTTGTTGTTGCCCTGACACGGCGATCGGTGAACCGTCGGCAGCGTACTGATCGCGTCCCAGCAGGTCTTCCAGCTCGGCGGGATTCAACATGAATTTGGTACCGTCCTCGTCCAGGAAGTGCTCGTTGAACTGCAACATTTCAACCATGGAGTCAGTAGCCCCTTCGCTGCCGTTGGACAGCCGCATTACGGGGTCGTCGCTGGTCTCCGCCCTCAGCCACTCGGGATCCAGTTGGGGTGGTTCTATTGATTCGCCGCCCCGACAGATACTATCATCCAGCACTCCTATAACAAAACCACCCCACATACGTAAATAAAAATGTATATTTATGGTATATATATATACAATAAACCTTTTTTGTATATTGTACTTATATAATACAACCCTACCTATAATGTAATGTGTACAATAGTGAGCGATACGACTAATACGAGACACAGCATATGTTATTACTTATTACTTTTATTACTTATTTTACCAAAGAAAGTATACTCGATCGGACATTAATGCTATCATATAATTTACAGATTTTATACAAACGGTAGCAGAATTTGTATATTATACATTTGGTAAATCATTAATACCATTAAATGTGTTCACGTGTGTTCCCTAGGAGATTTTTCCTTTTACCAAAATTAATTATTATTGTATTCGTATTAATTTTATTTAGGTGTACCGAGTAGTCCATTTAACTTATAAAATAGTTGAATATTAAAGTATGTACCATTGTACATTAATTGTACCTGTTGTTATATTTTATTATAAATTACATATTTCTATAAAAAATTTTGAATGTTGTTTACAATATAATATTATTTCTAATTGATAAATAATTAATTAACTCAAATAGAAGTTTTTCTGAAAAAATATTGAAAACATACAATACTAACGATCACAGTGATATTATGAACCATCGATGTAGAATATTATATGAATATTTATTGTTAATTGTTACGTAAAATAAGAATAATCATTGTTATTAAATTAATCATATGAGAATTGGGACGCTATGTCGTTCATTGTAAGTTTTTAGAAAATTTTTATACATTTGTCCACGTTTCAATGATTTTGTATAATTTAATATTAATAGTAAGGTAGCTGGTAGACACATACACAGAATTTTTGTGGTTCTCCTATGAGTGAAAAAAATTATTTTAGTATTATTTATTACTCGTTTTAATTACCAGTAATATTAGACAGGTAGGTTTTTTTTTTTTTGAATAAGTTTTCTTTCGTTAAATCGTATCATGCACAAATAAAATATTGAATATTTTATAACGGCTATTAAACAGGTACGATAGGTATTTGTATATGTCTATGTACAGTATACGCATCTATATATATTATTATAGTAGAAACATTCATTCAAGTTTAACTTGTTTAACTCCGAGTTTGTCATGCTTTAGGACAGGTAAAAATTAAAATGTACCTATCGCTAGTCAGTTGTTTGATATAAAAATAAATATACTACCTTTTACTATTACTATTATATATTATAAACTATATTTTATTTATTGCTTTATAATAACCACACGATAATAAAACTGAAACTACTAGAAAGTAGAACTGTTTGTAGCATACAAATTTGTTGCCAATTTTGTGTTCCTGTTTTCTTTTGTAGTGTATAGATCTCTGAAACGAATTTAAGGTTTACTCGATCAAGCGGTGGTAATACGTCATATTCATACACATCGTCTGTCGATGTACAATTCGATAAACGTGACAAATTAAAATAACAATCGGTGCACGCGAGATACATACCTACACAACTACATACCTATACAACTACAATACCATATTATAATTTATGAAATACGAATTATACGATAGTGAATAGCAATGTGTTATTCACGTCAAAGGGTCGTATACGCCATCTACCTGTACGCCGTCTACAATACGTATTACTAAAATTTGTTGTATAAAAAACAAAACAAAAATCAGACGAAACCGTTCAGTCTCAAAATATTTGAGTGAATAAGAAAATGTGCACGTTCGTTGTAGTCTGTGCACTACAAATATAAAAATACGTATTACAGTATAATATAGTAAGGATTTACAGAATTTAGTAGGGAGAGAGGAAGAAGCTTTAATATTTTACAGCATAATTAAGCTTATCCTTTTATTTGATCTCTTGCAAAGTGCAATTGCAGTTTTTAGTGGAAGAAATCCTCTAAAGTTTGAAATTTTGAACGAAAAAATATTATCGAATCCGTATACCAGATACGAGCTTATCTCAGTTGGTACACGTATCAGCTCTCAATATTATTATTGTTATAATTGTATTATAATTGATTATGCTGAAATAAATGTATACCTAATAATAATAATCATCAACACATTTCAAATATTGTTTTTTTTTTTTATTATTATTATTATCAAGTTAGTTTCTATAATAGTGGAAACAATTAGAAACAAGAAAATGTACGGCATAACCATCTCAAATGGTTTTTGATTATAATTATATGTTTTATTTCTGTTTTATTACTTTTTTATACATTTTTTGTAATTTACAATAATTAATAATAAATTGATAAATATTATTTTACAATTATAATTAAGAAATTCAAATTCAAAATCAAAAATCAATAGTTAACATTTAGTTTATAATAATTGCATCAGTGCAATTTAATATACTAACAAATTATCATATATTTTTTAGAAAGAGAGAGACTGAGTTTCTTCTTTGAAATTTGAATAAAATTCAAAAACGATTTATTATATTTTAATAATATAATATGTTATGACATAGGACAAGATGTACGGTGAATAAACGAAATAAATTAAAAATCAATGCAAAAATGATCAAGAATTTTATAAAATAAACATAATTAATGATTTTTAACATCATCCCACGAAAATTTCTGGAATTGAAATTCACAGAATTCATGTATCTCGTCCAGTCGTCCCAATGTATATACTATATAATAACAGTACATGCGTATACAGAATTGAAAGGCAAATACCAGTATAAGATTAACATTGTAACATAAATAAATGGATTTTCGAAGCATCTATACAGTCTAGACATTTGTACCTAAAAACCTTTTTTTTTGTTACAAGACCGCTTTATAATATGATTTTAGGTATAAATGACTTAGGACCAAGTATAATATATGGTCGGTAGTTGGAGTACGATCGTAGAATAGTAGCTGTCAATGCCTTTGGCGGTAAATTTTTTTTATAGTATAATAATAATATAGGTATATATGTATGTATACATATAACATGTATGGTTTTGGGGAATTTGGCATTATATAGATTGTTTGCCGTTTACCTACCTAAATGTTTATATTTCCCAGTACTGAAACTGTAAATAAAAAACCAGGGAAGATGTTTTGCTGCATAGAAGGTGGCCGACTGTCGAGTGAACTTCGTCAATGAGTAGGCCACTGTAATGGATGGTTAAATTTGAATTCAATGATAAATCATTGCATACGAAAATTTTTTTTAAGCCGATTCGATCTATCACTCTGTCAGACTATATAGTATATTAGTATATTATATTACTTATTTTATTATGTATTTATATTTTATATTACTATAAGTAAAACTGTTTTTAAAAACAAAAAAACAAGTTAAGTTATATAATGATTATTTAAAATTATAATTCCATATAATATAAATTACAACCTGTTATTAAAGTACCAATTATTACAGATGAACTGTAAAATGGTAAGAAAAGCTTAAAATGAATCTAAATATTTGTAAAAGTCCAACGGGTATATAGTAAATAATAAAAACGTAATGTCAAACATTTTCAAATTCTTAATATTATTAAATTATAGTAACATAATAACTAAACAATTATTTTTCGTTTAAATATGCAATTTTGTAGACATTAGAACTTGATATTTTCTAAAAGATTTCTGAAAGAATAACTAATGAAGAACCTTGTATTAAATTAAACCTATACATTTCTAATTCCAATTAGTTTTCGATACTATTTATGAAAATACGAGTTCATATGAATCTATTAACTATCATAAACATAAATAAAACTACATAAATAAATAATAAATAAGTAAAATAATTATATTAGTTTTATTTCGTTTGTATAACTATATTACAACAACAAAAAGAAAAACATTTTTAATAAACTAAAATAACATTTGTTTTTGTTTGTAATGTTATACAATATTACGTTGGAAAATAATCAATCGAATAACTTTTTAATACACATCTGTTAGACATAAATTTCATTAGTTATTATTTTTATCGAATAGTACCTGTATTATTTTAGACTATTTATTTATATATTATTTTATATTTGTGTCTGAAAGTGAAGTATAACTTTATTTATAGTATGTAGTATACTAGTATGTACATTGTACTTACTAGATTTTAATAAGCACTATAATATAGTATATAGGCACAGTGTGCACAGTCTACAATCTACATTCCAGTTTTTTAGGTCTATCTATCTTTTTAATAATGTGAATAATCTACTAACCTAAATAATATCAGTGTTATAATTGTATAAACTTAATGTTTAGGATAATAGTGTTAATTAGAATTTATAAGGTTTGTATCAGTAAAAGATTAATAATTGTACATTTATATATTGTAGGTACTTCAAAAAGTAGGTCTACCGTGAAAATTAAATTTATTCAGGCATAAAAAAAATAACTAATTAATCTTTTAATATACTATTGTGATAATTATTATTCGATGTTTTTAAATAATTATTTGAACTAGATGCACTGAATGAATATGGTGAATATGCATCGTTGTTTTCTAAAATATCATATATTATTGCTTCGGTTTCATTCAGTTTTTAAGAAAATATCAAATTCAGTTGGATATTTGAGAAGGATGGTGCCGACGGGACAATCACCAGCCCCTTGATCTTTTTCAATTTAAATCAAATGTGTTTTCGACTTTAAAATTCAGCTCATGCCTAACTGTGACTGGTAGAGTTTAAATATTGAACTTAAATAACCTTGTTTTACTGATGCAGTGATGCCTTAGTACCTTCGCTGGAAGGCCTCTACATTCCATCCAAACTGCCCTTTTATTTTTAGTTTTCTTATTTTAACATTTTAACCCATCATTTGTTCTTATGGTTCTTCTTTGTAACAGATTGAATAAAATAAACATATAAATAAAAATAATTATAATAATAATAACCTCGTTTTATAATATTATAATTATTATATAAAGTTGTTTACAATTATTTTTAATTTGTA